TCCCCTCATCCAGACCATCAATAAATATATTAAACAAGACCAGATAAAGATACTGAACAAGACCTGCAGAGTAGCAGGGATCCAGAACACCAGGCTGCTCATCAGACAGTTTAACCTCCCAGCCCTGGTGCACCATGTCAATGGAGAATCAGGAACTGGTGACTCCAGAATTGAAATGTCCTAACTATTTCTGATGCCATGCCTTGGAAAGAATTTGCTGCATGGTCTAATGAGCTGCTGGAGTAAAAGCCCATGTAATTCAGAAATTTCATGGGGTATATCAGAAGAAAAAAGGGGTCTTCAGTCTTCTTGGCAAATTACTGTGCTCTGCCTTGGTTGAGGGTTGGATCCCAGTTTCTACAAAGCCCTAAGTAGACTGTCCTCTCCTGCAGTTGCTCCTGAAGTTTCATGATGAATGTGTCTCCACTATGATCTAGTTAGCATTATAAAGTTAAGTAATTCTTGGTGGCAGACCATCATTATGCTCAATGAGAACCCATTCTAAAACAAAATGGGGACCATGTGAAATAAATCAAGTCAAACTAAACTATGCTAACATTTGCTCAGTTAGCAAAGGCATCACAATCAAAAGTATAAAAAAATGAGAAAGATTGAATGACAAAAATATTTTTCTTACTCTCTAACTGGAAAATATCTTGTAGGCTCAGCCCAAGTTTTTCAAGTGTGACTGCTCAAAATTAAGACCCCAGTCCACAAAAAAAGTCACTGAATCTCCAGTAACTGGAGAGGGGAGAAGAAGAAAAGGAAGAGGAGAAGAATATGACAGTACTTTTTGAAGTCAAGCCACCTGTAAGTCTAGATAGGAATTCAGGAATCCATACAGGGAAAAACTAGCCCAGGCTTATAGCTGGTCTGAAGCTACTGCAGCAAAGATGTTGTGTGCAAGACTGACGGGGCAGCCATTTAAACATGCCTCCACCACATAGCATGAGCACAGGCTTCTAGAACAAGCCTCCTCAGCATTCTGCCAATATGCCTTCACGTCTGCCAAAATATAAGCTGCCTGCGCAGAGGGCATTGCTGCACATATGGTTTTGACAGATTAAAATAAGCGAATTTTTTTCTCATTTCTTTTTCCTAGGTTTCCCACTCTTGTCGTCACACGGAGACTGATTCTAGATATTCAACCAATAATACTTTATGACTTTTAGCTCAGTCATAACTTCTGTTCCCTTTCCACTGTGCATCCTTTCTACAACTAATTCCTGAGATCATAGCACAGTGCTTCTCATGAAGAAAAGCCACCTGCCCTGTGTAACACCTGAGGCATTAGTACTGCCCAATCTGTGGGCCACTCTTTTAACAGTATCTGGAGGTATGTGACCATGAATCAGTTCTGGCAGCACGAGAATGGGCTAGAAAGAAAATAAAAAATTCGCCAATGCAGAGAGCAAAGAAATGTAAATTTATGAGACTGTAGAAAGAGTTCAAGGAAGGAGAGAGGAGATTCTTGTGGCTGAACAATAAATGAGTTGAGTCCCTCAAGGAAGGAGTAACACAGATGAGATCCATAAGCAAAACGGAGTAAGAAAAGGAGCAGAGAATGCTAGAAATAATACAGATTTTATCAATGACTTCATGGGATCGGGGCTTCCCTTTCTCTGCTGTCCCCTAGCTCTTTTTTTTTGCACAGGGAATAAATTGGCATAATTCAATACATATTTTTAAAGTAAAAGTGCTGATATACTTTGGATAAAGGAGTTCATAGGATTTCATCTACCCCTCCTGCAGCTCTTACATAGGTGACTGGATTTTAAGTTTTTGCTTTTTATTGATATTTATTTTTTAGTTCTGATTTACTTATGCTTATTAATAAATAATTTAATTAATGAAGTTAATTATCATGACAATGCTCACTTTAGAAAGAAAATAAATTCAACCTTGGCTTTGAAACATCTAAAATTTTTAACATAGGAAGATGTAACATACGATACAGCATATCTGGACCTTTTAAAGTTTCTTTTCTTTCCTTTTTCCTTTTCTCTTGATTAGCTACTTGCCAAATATTCGTTTGTTTTAAACTAAATCAAATTTTCTACCTCCTCAGCAGGATTCACGTTTATTTATACCAGTAAGGTACAGTAATGGAGAATTAGCACGAACACCTATGACAGAGGTCTACTTGAATCTCTAATTTGTGCTAAATCTAAGAGAGAACAGCCAGTGTAAGCTACAATTGATGGAAGGTAGTGTTCATCTCTAAGCAGATGGAAGCCAGATATTTTAAAACTAACTGCAACAATTGACTTAAATATAGCCCTGTCTGAAGCCAAGCAAAATCATTCCATTGCCTTCACTGAGTTTCAGATCAGCACAGCAAAGCATGTTATAGCTCTAAATCTCACGCTTTACAAAATACACTTATCACCCACACTTTGTCGATAGGGCACCTGAAGCAGAGAAAAATGAAATGATTTGATGAAGCTCACTAAGAACAACAGCAGCAGAGACAAAAACCAGAAAATAAAGGTGTCTGTTCCCTCCCAGAACTTCTTGTTGCTGAAGACTACAACAGCCTCTGTCAATCTCTACACACTCCCAGTTCTGTAAGTGTAAGTATTAGGAGAAGTGCTAACAAGTGTAAGACAAGTCACCTTTTACTACTAAGTCCACTAAAGGCACTGGAAAAAAGACCCATTCATTTTGGTGAGCCCTGGACAGAGAACTAAGGGAAAATATGGAAATGAAGATAAAGTGTCCCAGTCTGCACCGGTTCATGCAAGAGTCACAACACAGCCAGAACAGCAGTGAAGGTACAACTGAAGAGAAAGAGCAGGACACAGAAAACCAAGCGGAAAATGTTAAGGTAAGCCACCAAATGGGCTTAGCAACTACAACAGGAATCCAGATTTACAGCAGCTCCCAATTTAATTTATCAAAACCATCAAGTGATTGCCAATGGGGAACTAAAAAGGGGCAAAAGCCACCTGTCCATTTAATAGCCATTCTTCTGTCCTACTGCTATAACAGCCAAGAGAGTTGCTCATCCCCACATGGGTATTTCCTTTGCCTCAGGTATTTCAGTTGTTTCACACAGAACATTGATGAACAAAATAATTAAATAATACATACTCATTATGAAAGGGCCAGTGTTAAGTGACATTTTTAAATTGCATCATGTCTTCAGACTATTTATTTTGTTAAAAATAACTTAAAAATTAACCAAGTCATAGACAGGAAAAAAAAAAATTAAACTCATGGATTTGGATCTCAGTTTTCGATTCTGTTTATCTGCACCCTCTGTGTAGACAATTACAGCTACTATGAAAGTCCAGAGACCAGTGTGCAAGCTGACTCCTTATTTTGCTTATGTGAAAAAACAGAAATATAGAAAACAGACATTGATTACTGGCACTCTGGTAGGTTATATATAGCATAAAATGCAGGTTCACTGATAGATCTGTATAAGAAATAGACTAGTTCACTTTTAACTGGCTGTTGTCCAGGATTAAACTTTTTTCTAGTAAGCCTTTTGTATCCTTTGACTGTGAAAAACTTGGAGAGTTGCAATTTATAGAACCTGAAAAAATTAGTACTGTAACATCAAAACACAAATTGTTATGAAAGCACGTATTTGCCTACAATTCAAAATACTAAGAAATACGCGTAAGCAGATTTTTTTTTCTTTTATAAAAAAGAAAGAAAAAAAAGTCTGAGTTCTAGCTTTAGAAATCTATGAAAAGAAACAGAAGTCTATTTCAAAATGAAAGTTATCTTCACAGTGCTTACAATTGCTTTCTGCCTCTGTCTCTCCCTTTGTTTGGCCCTTTCAGATTCCCGTTTTTCATACTCTTTGCGGTATTCTTCCCTCTTCAGCCTTTCATGCTGATATTCCTCATAGCTGTCATATCTAGGAAACATAACTTAGTCATTAAATCAAACACCTGTATTTGTGAATGTAAAATTAGTAATACAATTTCTGGAATGGAATGCTTCATTATCTCTTGAGAACCACCTGCAAAGCAAACCAAATGCAGGCAAAATGCACTACCTGGGTCTGCGACTGTACGGTGATCTGGATCGCGATCTTGCGTGTAAGGGAGAACTTCTGTGTGCTCGGTGTCTACAGTGGCTGGACTCATAGCAACAAGATCTGCAAGAAGAAACATGTTCACCTCTGTCATTCAGTTTGAATCTATTGAAACCAATTTCTACCTCTTCCCCGAACTTACAATTTCTTCCAAGCTACCAGTGAGATTTTCCAGTGACAGTTTGTGATCTCATAGTCAACTAAGGCCCACCCCACACCCTTCTGTAATGTTCCTTATTGAGGCTAACACAGAGCACAGAGTTAGCCACTGACAACTTCATCTGATAGGGACTGCATCTAGATTGGCATCGGGCAGCTCACAGATAATGGGAAAGGTTAGTTGTATACACCTCTCACCAACTGCTCTGCCGCTGACCTGACTTGGCTCCACTCAGAAAGCGTAAACTTGGCAAATTTAAAGGATAAGGGTAACAAGTGTTTCTGTAGCAAACCCGTAACCTTCAGAGTTAATCAGCTCAGGAGCAATAAAACGAGGTGCACTGGATTAAGTTATTTCTTGTTCTTTTCATTCTTTCCTTTAAGTTGCTTTATGTTTTTGCTGTTTTCTTTCTTATTAAGTACAACAATGATACATGAATTTGCTATACCGTACCTTGAAGAGGATCTACTACAGGGCGACCTTGATCTTGACCGGGAATATGGAGAACGGGAACAAGACCTGTGTTGAGGAAAGGACCTTGATCTAGAGCGTGTCCTTTGGGATCTTTGAGAAAATAAGGATTTGGGTGGAGACACTGAATCTCTGCATGGAGAGTTAAAAGAAGAGCAAGAAGGCGATACATCAAATAATGAATAGGCTTGTGTCCCATCCCAAGGGTAGCATAGTTTATCACTTTCATCTTCACTGTCATCAAAGAGACCATCCATTGCTAGTCCTGAATTTATAAACATAGGTAGTTTGGAGAATTGTTCATTACTATAATCACTGTGCCTTAGTTCTCTGGTCTTATCTGCTTCTTCATCAAAAACAGCTTGGCTGGGGTGACCAAAATGCTTATTCAGTTCAGCCCGAATTTCCTGGTCTTGGAGCTGTTTTCTGTTATTACCATGGGATCCCTGTGTACTTGTCTGTAAAGTCTCTTTCTTGAAATACTGGTCTTGTTCTAAAGAAGAACAAATCTCACACTGCCACCCAGGTGAAGAATCCTTAAATTCTAGTTGTCTGGAGTCCTGAAGTTCCTGGGATATTTTAATGTGTATTTCCGATTTTGAATTCACAGATTGACAGTAGTCATGGTCACCAAACAGCCGCAAACTGGGCCGTTTTGTCTTTCTCTCCTCATGTCCACTGGACAGTACTGTAGTCTTGCTAAGCTGTGCGTACAGCTCAGACTGTTCTGGACCCTTCTTGGTTGGGTTATTTCCTTGAGAACCGGAAGACTCACTATAGTGGGGCTTTTTTGAAGGTGGTACAACAGTCTTGCATGATGACTTCGGCTTAGGTGAAGTCCTAAAAGGATTATCCTGGTTGGCTTTATGAGGAGGGGTCGTAGGTGGAGTTAGGCCTAAGGGAAAAGCAAGGAGGAACAGAGTATTTTTAAGCACACGTACAATGTTTATAAAGGCGGCACATGTGCTTCTTTAAAACAGATACAAAGCAAGACCCATTCTATGTCACTTTAACACTACTAATACTGGGAATAGGAGTATTTAGGGTGTGAGACACCAAAGGTCTGGTAACAACAATAGCACCAGTACTAATGCATTGCTATTAATCTTCAGCATCATTTCTGCCCCCTGCTTCCTCCATGACATCCACCTCTCTCTCTCTGTAGATTTTGATAGAAAAGAGCAAGGGATAAAAACCAAGGCTTTTTAGTTAAAAATCAAAAATATTTTGATACAAAAATCGAAAGTCAGAAAACTGGTACTGTCAAAAACATAAAGAAATTAGCAGACAAAAACCTGAATAAAATCAAGCCCAAGAAACATAAGCAACATAACTGCTACCAAAGGAACCTTGGTAGGATGTAGAACTTAAATGCAAGGAGGTACAGCAACTCTACAACTCAACTGCAATGACTCTTTGTCTCCACAGTTCATTAACTTAGTAAACCATTGCTAATGTATGTATAATACATTCTTGTAAGCATAACTAATACATTTTGCCTGAAATGTGGTTCTGCAGCTGAAACCCAAGTGAACAATAGGACAACTGCAACAGTAATGAACCACTGCATTTAGAACTAAATGTTATTGCAAGTCATGAAGTAGGGAGTCAGAATGAAACACAAAAGTATTCAAAGACTAAAGATACCACTAACTATCAGGATTGTTCACCTAATTGTAACAGAATATATCATTTCAGTGAGACAAAATGGCAGGAAGAACTACAGCCCATTCCAGTAAATCCTGGGAGCCGAAGCAACATCTTCCAATTATTTTTATCACATTTTTATATAAATATTATATATTCGTATATAAAATATGTAATATTTTCTGTAGAAATCATAGAATTTCTTCAGACTTTACAAAAGGATAACCCAGGACACCAGGGCAGAGTAACAGCAAACTGCAGCCACTGTTCAGGAAATAACTGCTCTTCAGGAAGGTACTTAGTATGTTATGTTTGAAAAAAATTGCTTCCGTCCAATTGACCCTAATGTAATTTAGCAGTATATATGCTTAAAATTAAACAAATTAGACTGAGATTAGTGAGTTCTCCTATATAATCCAGACCGTCCTTACACACTCCAGAGGCTGATGCTGCCCAAGATTTCTTCTTCTAGCCCAAGCAATAGGCTTTCCATTACTTCTTTAGCATGAGTGAAAAGAGAGGGCAGACACACTTACAGGAAATGTGTATTTCAAACGTGGCTACAGAGTTCTGTTTTGTATTTTTAACCATGCAACTGAGCTCAGCAGATCAATGCAAATGGAACATATTTTATAGTGTTTTGCTGTAAAGAAGGAAAAGCGTCCATCAATGCATAGTGCTCCCTAAGGAGCATAAATGGAGACTGGGAGTCCCATTGCATTAGCTGCAATGAATTTGTTCCAGAAAAAAAGACGACAGGAATATCAAGGCATGAATACTTGATGTGAGAGAGACGCTAGATTTTGTCTGAATGTTTGTAAAACATTATGGGTTATAAACTGTGCATGGCTATGTGAAGACTTTGCCTAATGCCACAAAAGTCAGGGAAACTGAGGCAAATCTAATCATACCTAAAACTCTAGTTACTTCAAAATAGAATTTAATAGCGAAAAAGTTTTGTGCAAAGTCATCACTGTTAAACTATTTCCTTTAATTTCAGTCCTGAAGTTTTTCTTCCTTCCCAAAAATTCACTTGAGTCAGCAGTATGTATTTCACACCATATCCACCTCCTCACTAACAAATATTTTTGACTACCAAATGAATTTTTGGTAAAATGAAGAGAACAGTCCTCTTCAAAATTCTGCAGTCATAATTTCCAGGTTAAAAATTCAGGCTCAGATTCAATGAAGATTTGAGCAAGCGAAGACTGTTTTCTACATAAAAAAATTCAGAACTGTCACTTTTACTCATGAAATTATACAGTCTATGAGAAGCTCTGGGGTCAGTTACTTTTTGGATGTAGTTTTAAAGAAAGAGTGAAGCAAAAATACAACCACTCCACAATGAACATGCATATTTAAGAATTTCAGGCAAAGAAACCCTAGAGATAAACCAATATTAAAAATAAAATATTGTTTCCATTTCCACTTCTTTAACGCTTAGCCATCGCAGGAAGCAAGCTAAACACACAACACAACTATTTCCAGAAGCCTGACAAGGAGTCCAACGATCTCTAGAGGAGGGGAAAAAAACCCTACTAAAAAAACCTTCACAAAAGTACAGACTGAGCTAAATTTACTGGCACTTCTTTTGCTGGCAGAACTGTGCTGGGGACAGCCGAAGAAAGGGCTTCCTCGTGGCATTTTGGCTTTTTTCCTGGTTTTCAGCAGAAGCAGGAAGTGCACAGGCAAGGAGAAACAGCTAAGAGTTGGAAAATGTTCATTCAACTTTTGAACAAACCTCCATCGGGGGACAGAGGAGGGAGTGAAGTTTTGAATTCATGTCACTGCTACGAAGTCCACCTTCAGCGTGTCTCATGACCAATCTCCAAACTGTGAACTTTGAGAAAACCAGTTGGCTGCACACTTGTTCATCTTCACGCTAATCCCCGGTAATCTTCACCAAGGGCCGTCATCCCACATCAACGGCGTTACAATATTCTATAACCATTGGATTATTTCATACGCGCCGATTTCTCCGCCAACGTGTACATTTTAGCGTTGACAGTACAAGGTATATTCTGTGCTCTCTCTTGAACTTAGCAGGTTTTGACAGATTTATGGAAGGACAGATGGCCATTACGGGCTGAAGGCTGACAAGAGGCAGTTCAGAGCATTGTTAACACACTTGCACAAACTCTCAGCAGTGCAGCGCTGTGCAGAATGTAATTCAGACTATAGCTTTTTTATTGCTGCCTATTTTCTTTTGTCAAAAGAGCCTGCTGTGCACAGCAACAAATGGCTGCCATTACCCAGAATGTAATGGGTGTCAGACAAATCACGTAACACAAACAATCAAGAGTATGTAGGTCATATTTCAACAGAGCACAACCTTAGCAATATTTATGATTACTGCATTGAAATGTGCTCTATAATAAACAAGTACCTCTACATCACTCACACTTATGTACTTCTGCACAGCAAATCTGTTAGAAGTGGTACATACTCTACAATCATCCCCTTTAAACAGTCTTTTTTCTTTTTAAAGTAAAAGGCAAGTATTTTTTCATGACATGCTATAAAGCCATTTTCTTTCTAGGGACTTTTCTTTAATTGAATAGCTTTGGTAAATGGTATGTTTGCACTTTGCCTTGCTCTGTCTATATACTACGAACTCACTCGGTGATCTTGTGCTTGAAAAAAGCGTAGATCAATTTGCCAGCACTGCTGCCAAAGCAGCATTGTCCTCCCCGTGTCTGTGCAACAAAAGGTGTTTGCACCACCTTGGCCAAGCTACTTCTTTCAAGAAAGTCTCTGGGAGAATGAAAATACTTTTGATACATTCCAAAACTCCATTGAAAAAAACCCCTTAGTAACTCATTTAGCCCAGCCAGGCTGATAAGCAGAAATTAGGGGAGTGCCTTTGCATAAAATGTGACCATCTTCACTTTTTAGGACTGATTTGCAATGCTGTTTTACACAGACACTGATCTTTCTAAAACTCTACTGTAACTGTTAGCATTTAAATGTTTGATGACGTTTGTTGTGCTTTGAGGGGGCTGAGAATTACTGTCTTTTGGGGAATGCAGCCCTGGAACCTTTCTACACATGCACTGGGCTTTTGAGAGGCATCGAAAATGAATTCTTTTATACCTTTTAAGTTTGAAAACAGATTGTCAAGGGGAACATTATTTAAGGCCACTTAAAACACTGAACACAAGAAAACAGCCCAATTCAGTAAAAGAATCAGAAGAGCTTTTGTGTGGTACAAGATTGCAGAAGCCAGGAAAATATAATAAAATTAAATAGCCATCATATAATAAAAAGCTACATGCTTGTTGAGTATTCAGTCTAATCCTGTTGTCAGTGCTGCAGAGAATAAAAACAGATGCCTGAAAATATCAGATAATTTACAAGATTTTATTCCCTCTAGACAACTCTCTATATCTCACATCTCTTTTTATCAGAAATCATTCTGAGGTCAAACAAGTTCTTATATGATAGATTTTAAGTGTTTGTTCTGACAACTAAGAGGTAACACAGAGCTAAAGGTGGGCAAATAGCAGGATGTAAGTATCCTCAAGGATGCTCATGAATTCCAAGTCACTCTTCAAGCTGACTGTGTTCATACAGCCTTTTCTGTCATGTTTTCGGAGAAATCAAATTTTGTACCCAAGAAAGACTGGTGAGGGGTTTTATACTTAGGCAAATTACAGGGATCTGTGTGCAAATGAGAGACTCTTCACCAGTTACTGATTGAGCCTTAAGCGTGTAAACTCACTTCACGTACTTACATGATGGCTTTGAGTATTTAGGAGCGAAGGTTTAAAAAAACACTGAGAGAACAGAGCGCACTGAATTTCAAACATTTAGGAGCCATGCCATCTAACTTCTGGCAGTTAGAAGTTCAGCAGAAAGTCTAAGACAGTCATTGAGGAGCCCTCGATCATCAAGAGAAACACAGCCACCTCCAGAGGGTGAGTCAGCCTCCTAGTCCCTGTGCCTGCAGGTGCCCCCTCAACCTGACTGTTAACAGAGGAAAGAGGTCTTCCAGTGACACAGAAACGTCCCACATTCCTGGAAGACATTAGAGAGGTTAAAGCCCACGGCCTCTTAGCATGGTGTTGGCAATGCAGCTAGCTGTGGAAACAAAGGGAGAAGGAACTCTTGTGAGCCTCTTATTCAGAATGGGACTCGCCTTTACACAGAAATGTCATGCACTATATTATCATCACCTAGGACTCCCTCCATATCATGATGTTCTGATCTTAGAACATCTTCCTTAGACCAGCACTAGAAATCAGCTGCAGGAGTTGGGATTTTAGACAGCAATGGACTTATTCCTCTATCACAGGCCGCTTATTTAAAGTGCATTCAAAAAATTCTTATGTGTGGCTTGAAAACACTTTAAAAAATATTTATTCCCTCTAATTTGACAAATCAATGTTTTGACAGTTTTAGGGAGGACAAAGTTACATTCACAACTACTAACAAATCTGTTGTAAATCAAGATATAGCATCAGCAAGAGAACAGTTTCAGTTTGACTTTAGATACATGAATCCAAAATGTATGTGTGACGAAGATTGATGGCTCATGTGGGAAATGCTTTTATTTATTTATTTTTCTACTCTATAGTTAATTCATCAGTGAGGGAACCAATGTTGTTTTCAGCAGAGAGATCAAGGGAGCTGCTATTTATATTAAAATACTTTGTGCTTCGATAGTGCGAGCAGCACTGCTAATGGTCTTTTCAATTCGGCAGCGAGATCAAGGCAACTCCTATTTAAATCATAATAAATAGTGCTTGTACAGTGCAAGCTGCCCTGTATAAGGACAATGAGCAATGCGGTTATCTGGGTATAATTTGGAGTTGCCAGGGTCCCACTAAAGAACTCCAAGGTATTATTAATCACTACTGCCACTATTTTTTTCCTTTTTTTTTTTTTGATTGGGTTTTTTTACTGAAATGGGTCCCAATTCTGCCATGATTTATTCACATACGCTGTAAGTTCTTCAGTACTCGAGGTTGTTTCTGTTATGTACTTGTCTGCTTCCAGCACAAGCAGACTCATGACACAAGACACTACTGCAATACAAATGACTTCAAAAGTAAGACATGCACAATCACTCATCTTTTTATAGATTTATATACATCCATGAATATAAAAATAAAATCTATGTGTACGTGAAGGCAGAGATTAATACAGCTACCAAGTGATGAAATACAATCTTCTGAAGCCTCCTCACCAGGCCTTGTGAAGACTAGAGCAAGTGCAACATGAATTCCAAGAGCCACCATCATGTTCACTGGTTGCTAACACTGCCCCAACTCCCTGGACACACACGCTTCACCAACTCTTATTTTTCCTGAATATCATCAGTTTATTATCTAGCTAGATTCTGTTTACTTCCAGAGGGGAAAAAAAAAATCATGCTTTCATATTACAACATTCCTGTTCATATATTTGTCCAGTTGTGCTGTTTCACAGTTTCTGATGCATTTTTAATGCACTAGTTCTGGTTATATCATCAAACACAACTACAAAGCTGTTCTGTTTCCTCCTCTCTGCACAGCTGATGGAGCAGAATGAATTTGGTAATACCAAGACCATTCGTGTTGCCATTATGGAGGCAATACTAGAGGACTATCCAGGGGTCGGACTGACTCCCAGTTTCTATCTAGTCAGCTGATGGGAAGAGCAGGCTGCTGACTTTTGGTCTGGGAGAAAACGCTGCTCCCGTCAGTGATTTCAATGGCTGCTTGTACCACTCTGCTGTAGTCATCTCATCTGCCCCTTCCAGTTGGCAGCACTAAGCACTGACCTACCAGTGTGCTTACAAATGGGCATCCTCGTGCAGATTTGCTCTCCAGCAATGATAAAAGAGGCCTCTCCATGCTTCAGGCCTACTGGCACTGAATGGGATCATCCTGCTGCATACAGTGAATTTTGCCATGTTTGTGATGGTTTTGCAAAAAGAAGGTGCATTGGAAGGATGCTTCCTTTTGTCACAAGAGGAATGACTAAGACTGCAGGTTTTCAGGACACGGGAGAGGAAAGTGTGCATGTTTTAATGCTGAACTAATGAAGAAGTTTCTGAAAAAGTGAAATTATGGTTGTAGGAAGGTGAAAGCTCAAAGTACACGCACAAACCTAGTGCTTGGGCCCGCTCTTGTGTGAAGCTGCCACTGAATTTAGGGGCACCAAGCTGATTTCTGGTACCTAAAGACATATTTTTCAATCCCCCCCAAAATGCTAGAGATCACATAATTTACAATCCACTGTTACCCTAAAAGAAACACATGCTAAGTTTCAATATTACACATCAGAGAAAGAATGTGGGATCGAGTGCAGTTGACACACCTGAGGGACGGGATGCCATCCAGAGGGACCTGGACAAGCTCAAGGACTGGGCCTATGTGAACCTCGTGAAGTTCAACAAAGCCAAGTGCAGAGTCCTGCACCTGGGTCAGGGCCACCCCCTGTATCAGCACAGGCTGGGGGCTGAAGGGATGGAGAGCAGCCCTGCTGAGAAGGACTTGGGGGTACTGGTGGATGAAAAGCTGGACATGAGCCAGCAATGTGCGCTCACAGCCCAGAAGGCCAACCGTATCCTGGGCTGCATCCAAAGCAGCGTGGCCAGCAGGTTGACAGAAGGGATTCTGCCCCTCTGCTCTGGTGAGACCCCACCTGCAGTGATGCATCCAACTCTGGAGCCCTCAGCACAGGAAAGACATGGACCTGTTGGAGTGGGTCCAGAGGAGGCCACAAAAATGATCAGAGGGATGGAACACCTCTCCTGTGAGGACAGGCTGAGAGAGTTGGGGTTGTTCAGTCTGGAGAAGAGAAGACTCTGGGGACACCTTATTGCAGCCTTCCAGTACTTAAAGGAGGGTTATGAGAAAGATGGGGACAGACTTTTTAGCAGGGTCTGTTGCGATAGGACAAGGGGTAATGGTTCTAAACTAAAAGAGGGCAGATTTTGACTACATATAAGGAAGAAAGGAGGAGGAACATAAAGGGAGGTTGTGTGAAGTGTGCCAACAGAAGAAATAAAGAGCAAGCAACAATATAAAATGAATACCAATTTAAAAAATTACCTCCAAGCTATGGAATAGTTTTTCAGTGGTAGAGGAGGAAGCTGTTATTTGTGACATATTAATCTAAAATTGACAAAGCACTGAAACATGCAGTCACATACAGCCCTAGACCAGCCTGGAGACAGACTGGATGACATAACTTTTCCATCTGTAACATCTATTACACTGTGCTGTGGGGTTTGTCTTTGAAAGATGGTGCTCAGCAGTACACAAATCTATGGGGAAATGGGGAAGTATAACAGATAAATGGTTTCATTCATATTTTCCCAGAAATTATGATCTCTTGTATAGGTTTGGAGCCATATTTTCAAATGTATTCCTTCTCAGGTAACTGGATAAAAAGTCAATGCTAAACTGCACTGAAGTTAATTTACTGGAGACCTCTGTGAGATCTCGGTGCACATGTGGTATATTAAAATGTGGTAAATTAAAAACACACAAGCCATGCTTAAAGGAAGAGCCAGCACTCCCCATTTCTCACCTGCAGTTCCAGAGAGTTCCACACTTAAGGTTTGTTCAATAGTCTTGTTCTCAAATGGGGAACCCTTGGGATCACTGGAAGACAGGGCACATTTATAAAAACAAGCTGAAATGGAGTTGCTGTAGCCAAAATCTATTGAACCCCCCTCCCTTTTATAAATGTTTGCACTTTTTAGTACTTACTTTGGTGACTCGGGCGTCAATGGAAGTGATAAACTTGTTGGTTTGGCTAAAGGGAAAGAAACGATTATGGAATATTTAAACACTCCATAATATATATTAAAAAGATTTCTTTTTGTTTTGGTGCTGGAATCCCACGTTAGTCAGTTAGGGCTGAGCTCTGATACTTCAGTAGCCATTTCAGTGTGTCTTAGATAAATAAGGAGACTCATGCTGATTCCCTTACTTCTGGTACCAGAAGGGCACCTAAATTTCAACAATTATTTACATCAGTTACCGCCCCTCTGAAATACAGTACACAACCCAAATGCCAAGAAACTTTCAGAAGAAGAGTGGTACATGTTAAAAGCAATGAAGAACTCTACGGGATACACTGTGAAAATGTTACTTCTCTTAGAGTTAATTTAGACTACAGTTCACGTTTTATTTGGAAACAGGAGCAGCAGAATAACTACAAAGTAACAGAACGTTATGAATATTCAGTTAATTTTACTTCTACAATATACAATTTTATATATAGCACTGAGAATAGGTTGCTTCTATGAGGCCTGTGTCCAACCAGTTATAGATCAAATTTCTGCAAATTATCCTGCAAACTATGACAAGCCACTGGCATAGTCACAGATGGTTAAAACTGAGGTTGAAGCTCGCAGTACTACAATACCAACATACACAAAAAACAAAGCTCTGGCTATAAAAACACGAGTCTTTGTAGCAAGCAAACTTTATTTTCCCAAAGCAAGCCAAGAACTAGGATACTGTAATACAACTAAGATTCCTTTGATTGCCAGTAAAATGTTTAAAAATTAAAAATATTATTACTTGCAAATTTTAATTTTCAGAAGTTAGATTCATGTTTCAATGCAGAGATCATTGTACCAAGAACAATAGCAAATGAATTAAGACAAAAAGTTCCCCTTGAACACTCCTGCACTGCAGATCTTTTGTCCAGAGTGTCACTACTGCGTATTTCGTATTCGTTCCAGGCTTGGAGCTCCCGTCAACATTAAAGGATTTTATATGCAAATTGATTACTTTTATAAACTCTAGAGCATTCCTGAAGTAATATTACTTTTTTTTTTTTTAAATTAACTCAATTCTCAAGAGCTGCATATTGTTTCTCCTCCTCCCCATATGAAAGTTAGAAATGGAAGCTCAGGTGTTCACCTCGGGTTCACCTTCCTCAGAAGTCACCGCCGGAGTGAGGAGATGCACCTCAACGAGTTATTTGTCTGATCCAGCACTGCCATTGATTTGTGCATTAAACCAGGTGCAATAAGACTGACTGTAACCTGACACATCTTTGTGTGTATTTTATAAACATCTAGGGATCCTAATGTTTGCCAGTGGCTACCTAGAGGTAATACTGGCTTAGAAAAACCCAGACCTTACAGTAAGATTCTGGAATAAAGTTTTACACAAAGGTTTCCACTTTTTTTTAGAGGATAAAAATCTACATACTCTTACCCAATTTAAGCTTTCTAAGGAAGTTGAATGTGTAAGAGCTAGTTAAGCCTCTAAAATGTCTCATTCTAGCTCTCATTAGTCCCACAGAATAGTCTCACATCAGAATATATATATAAAATTCTGAAGCACTGAGGCACAGTGCATATCTGCCAGAGATGGGCACAGAACCAAGGCATTATCTCACATTCGTATGTACTCATTTCAGGCAGATATCACTGAGCTCTCCCACTGAGAAATTCGCATACCAAAACACCCATCAGTTTTCTTATTGCTAGGCAAGGGCTTGACCAAACAGTATTCCTGCAAAGGATTCGTCCTCACATACAGTTATTGATAGTGTAAATATTTAGTGAAGACACTATCATTTTCCATGGTGCCTGTTTATTAGAGTTTCAAGGTCTACTGTGGTGTGTTTTTTTCTTATTAAAAAGGGTTCACATGAAGCTTCTTGTCCCTGTAAATTGAAAACATTCAGGTTCAAAAGAACGAAGTTTCCTCATGGGCAAATTTCAATGCAAAACCACAGATGATCTTTGGCACGAATGGGTTTGTGGAGATTCCCGTGGGTTTGCAATATGTTTGCAAGAGTAACCCTAAAGGAAAATACCGTTTGACTTATCCTTTGTAAGCTTTCCCTAACATTGAAAGATAACATCAGACCCTGATTATTTTTAAAACAGGAGGAGCCAATTTTCTCATACTTTTGATTAAATGTATGAGCAAATGACTGCAGGTCTGCAAATATCAGTTAAATTTGCAAGGTCGATTCTGTATGAATTGACTGTCCAAGCTGAAAACATTATACTCTTGTATTTGTATTATATGCAAATCCATTGATACTGAAGTCATATACTGGTGTATGAGGCAAATTTGATGAAAAAACAACATTTCAGAAGTCTGTAAATTAAACTGCAGGAATTAAAGAAGAGAGTAATTTCTTTCTGCCTGCAATTTCACTTGCAATACCACCAAAGTCACAGTCATCTGTTGAACGCTGGTAAGTTAGGTATATGTCCCTTTGGACTTTCCTAACCTCTCCTTAGGTGCTGTTTCCACAACCCAATGTGCCCTGCTTCTTTGCACTGAATCTACACAATTGCCTCAGCTGGGGAAAAAATGCAGCTCTGGTCTGAATAGGAAGATTTTATAACCTGTGTTTGTGTGTGTATACGCGTATATTTATGTATGTGTATACATGATATACCTTATCAGGTATCACCTTAACATCCAGCAGTGTTAATAAAGCCCCTATAACTTCTGGCAGGTCTACGTTTCAGTACCATTGCAGTAAGAGACCCAGGTTTTACACAGACAATTCAGTCTGGATTTTTCTGTGAAGCAGACTGCTGAAGCCATCCAGAAGGAGTGGCAGTTGGCATCCAAGAAGCTCGAGGGGCAGTTGGACTTCTTTCTTACAAGAAACATTGCTCAGAGAATTTGAGACCATAATGGGGAAAACTATACTGAGGATGTCAGAATGTACAGCTGCAAGAAGGGTATTTAGTGGCAGGAAGGGAAGATTATTTTATTAAGTTTGCTTATAGTTCCTAGTAAAGAGTGAAAAATTAGATTTGATGGGGGCTGAAAATGTAGGAAGCAGGAAGGGGAAAAGAAGAAAAAACATATACAGTTTACAATTGTTGCTTTAAAAATACCAGAACAACATTTAGGGTGTTCATTACATTTAGGGTCATATCCTGATCCCTATTGCAGACAGATAACTTCCATTGACTTTAGTGGAGTCATCCAGGATTTGCACAGAGATAGGCAACTGGCCTTCTAGATGCCAGGACAATATATATACATAGATGTATTTTAAAGTAACAGTAACTTTAAAAAAGCTCCCTTTGGGCTCATAAGCTTTTACGGCTTTCCTTTATCTTGGGAAAACAGGCAGCGAGAGAGGGGGCTTTAAGTTCTTGCATCTCTGTCTTAGAAGTTACTTGTAATATAGACCAGTTCTTTATGCATTGGGGGATACTAAAAGTCACCACAAGTGTTTAGTTTTGGCCATAAAGAATCTAAAATAGAGAGAAAAAGATCAGGATGGCAGCTAAACTTTCGACTATTTACAAAATAAAATTATAAACCGGCATTCCAGCTTTAACAGGAATGACACATTTATTGCTTTCTCTGTAGCAGGGAGAGCACTATTTATTGTCTCTTAAGGACTATGTGGCAGGTTAACAATGCCTTCAGTTTTACGCTAGCAAAAAGGAAAGCAGCTCACTAATGAACTGGCCTGCCCAGCTTGTTTAGGGGTATAATGATTTCTTAGCGGTACAGTACTCTGTGAGTAAGTGTCTCCAGCTAGCTTGGTATACTAACATGTGGTATTTGTTAAACCTTTTTTACCCCAAGATTCTTCTTCTGAGGCTGGGGGCAATAGCGACAGGCTTAAAATTGTTTAAAAGCTAAAATCTAGCTAACTAATTCTAACTTCATTATACTGTTTTAAAATTCTCCCTACACAGAAGAGAAGCCAGATTTACAATACTAATCTAAAGAACAGAAGAGGTATTGAGGGTATTCACAACCGTGGTATTTCAGCTTCCCCGTGTTACTGCTGGTACCAAAGCTGTGTTCTGCGGTCCCACACCTACCTTGCAGATGATTTGCCTGAGACTGCAGATGGGGCTTCCTTTTGGAGGTGCATTTCTCTTTGCTGCTGTTCCTGTTCTCTGCTGGTTTGGTCTGAGGAGGGTCATCATTCGTAGTCAGATATTTGAGAAGTTCAGAGCAGGGACGTCTTTGAGGCTTTTGCTGTTGACAAATGCTCTTTGCTTTATTACTCCATGAATTCTCAGTCTTAAAAACAGGGCATAATAAAATAAAAAGGAAAAAAAGAAAGCTAAAATTAGTGAGCTGAACCTTATCAGAATGGATATAGGTTTTCTGAAGAGATGAGATTTTCAATGAAGTGTTCAGTCTAAGTGTACTAGATCTATGAGCTGTGAATAATTGTTTGCAGAACAAGGAAAGAAAATTACATTTAAAATTCCTAAATGACATTTATGCAGCTTTTTATTTCATTTCTCCTACATTTCAATGTTCCTACTCAGCAACATGTAACTAACAAGACCCTACAGCGCCTTTACTGTGAACAAAAAAATAAGCTGGTTTAAACCTTAATTTGCTGCTGATTGCTTGAGCCCAGTATTCACAACTCTCTTAAGTACCCCTAAATGCTCCGTTTTCAGTTACAGTGAACGGCAAGACAAACATTGTTTAATACTGCCTGCTAACAGAATTATGTCAGAGCCCCCATTCTATCCAATTAATGGCTGATATACATCTTTTGCCAAGAATCCAGTGTCATTTTTCTTAGCTCAGACAGCTAGTAAAATGGCAGTCCCGCATCCTGGAGTCACTCATAAACAACACCAGCCCATCAGCAAATTTTATCGTACCCCCTACTACTCTGTGTATCAATAAAGTAGGCAAGAGTAACAGACGGTGGGACTACAACTGAACTCTGCCAAGAGAAAAAGCATAAATGAAATATTCAGAGCATAAAGGAGCTCAGGTGATTTTCTGGAACCCAGTTTATAATCTGTTCACTTTTTTTTTTTTTAAAACAGTTGCAAGATAGTAGGCAGATTAGTACAATACATATATATCTACTGCTTGCTTGGTTGCTGAAAGCATAAAAGACCTTGTTACACTTTATCTTTCCTTTTTTTTTTTTTCTTTTGTCCTTATTACAAAGATTAAGTTTGTACCTTAACAACCACAGGGCTTGTTCTGATCCTGTGATTAGTGTTTGCATGGTTTTGTGTGCTGAGACCACTGCATTCATTGTAATTTAGCTGAGTGTTGGCTGGAGCCAGCAAGAGCTTCTTAAGCTACAAACACATCAGGGAAAGGGAGGTGGAAGGAAAAGAGTAAAGTTATGCATCTTTATGGATTAAAATGACTTATCTACATTTTTGCATAGTTACTTGAAGTTAGCTATATCAATTTTCAGCAAGCAAAGTACAGTAAAACAGAAAGAAGGGCTTGATATTCCCCAGAGCAAACAGATTTCATTTTCTTCTGGCTTGGCAGCATATTTCTGCTCCCTTTACTGCAGTATACTGCAGGGCAAGCAGAAATGACAAGGGCCCTGGATTTCTGAATCCATGGAAAAATTAAATTCTCGGTGATCTGTTTGACAGAAGAGGCCTCTGATCTAAACAGACATTAACTTTAACAGACTAATGGATACAGCATCACGATGCAGGTATCTGGCTCTGCTTCTGCAGAAGCCAGTGATAAGGGGCTTTCAGCAGAAACAGAATCACATCTCAAACTGGTTTTACTGAGGAAAATGCAGATAAGGTTTCACCCACATCCTCACCCAAGGTTCAGTTTTGCCCTGATTAGCACTAAGCTGGTGGTTACTGGTCAAATCAATGTTAAATGCACAAAATTAGCCCCACATCCTGCCAGACTCAATGGGCCTTTCTTTAGAGATCACCAAAAGTGACGTCTAAACATACATACAAAAAGAGCCCCGAGAAATTAAATATGAATTAAAAACCATTACCCCGACTTATTTGAACAGAATGATACGCAAAAGTGTCAGCCATTAGCACAAGAATCTCAAAAACAATCTTTTCAACACACTTTTTAATAGATTGCCTTATTAGTCATCCTATGGCTATTTGGTGGGGGTTTTTTTCCCCGCATAATTCTCAGTTCTTTACTTGATTTTCTTTTCCAGGCTAAATGAAAAGTCCAGACCTTACTGTGACTACATCATACCCATGCAGCGGGTAGCCAGAGGCACATCCAATTCCTGTTAAACAGTAGGAAGGGTTCTTACTAGAGACGGCTCTTCTGCCTCCTGAGTTGGAGGGGTGCCGTCGGGCATTGGGGAAGGGCTAGCGGCATTTTCGTTGGTCACATCTCCATCTGTCAGTGCATCAAATGAAGGCAATCCATCCTCATCCACAGGGATGCTGTCCAGTGTTTCAGTGAGAACAGCTAGCAAGTTTGCCTCGCTCTCTTCATCTATCTTCTGTGGGAGGCGACAAAACAAAAAGAGCAAACAGGTGAGAAGAGAAAAGGAACAAAATGATGCCTCTGCATGTGCAAAAACAGTCAAAACACAGTTAAACCAGCCTTTGAAACAGTAACCTGCAACAGCGTCTCAGAAGATGTAATTAAGCGCAATAAAATTATCCACCTCTGCGTTCAAGAGAAACCTCTTTGCACTCGCACTGTATTGCTCCAGTTTACTTTTCTTCCACAACTCTTTTTTTTAATCTGGTGTTAACAACGAGAAGTAATCACCCAGGGATTGTATTACAGGATGTGCCTAAGCTGCTGACACCATGGTGTCAGCCCAGGCTGTCTCTTTCTTTCTCTTTTCAACGCTGAATATCAGCTAATTGACCTGACAAAATTACAAGAACCAGAGAGTAAGACAGCTAATCACAAGACCAAAATGAATCACCAGTGAAATTTGGAAAACCTTGTTCATATACGTGTAAGAGAGAAAGGTTTTCCCTTCCATACTTCTGGAAATCCTTGCTCCAAAACCAAGCAAAAACCTTCTCATTTCTGAGCATTTTGGCATAAGACCAGCCATCAGGACTTGTAAATGGCAGGCTCTTTGGGTTTCTTTTAAAGAAATGTATTAAGCAGGTTGCCTTTGAAGCTGTCCTTTCGAGTTACGTCGTTTGAGTGCTCAATGCGACTATTGTATGCGTTTATCTAATTCAGACTTCAATTATAAAAAGCAGATTAATTCCTAATCAGATGTGGCTGTAATGTTAATTTATATTAGATATCTTATTTCAGCAACAAGACTTCTTTTTGTCAAACTGAGTAAATTTAAATGCCTTCTGATTTTTTAATGGAAGTCCTACAGTCCCTACTGTATATTACAGTACAGGTTTTTGGAGTACTGAGAGTTCTGAAGAGTAGAATTGTGTAAAAATCATTATATTTATTTTTCAGGAAGATTGGAAATTGATCTTGACAGATCAATTATCTAGGATTTCTAGGCTGATCCTAGTGCTATTAAAATAAATGAAAAGCCTTTCACTGATTCCAGGGATATCAAATTGGGAGTTTTTCCACCAGCTTCAGAGTGGTTCATCATGCTCCAGGTTCACACTGCGAAGAGATTTCAGCTGAGTTCACATCTCATCATTTAAAAGTGAACTAGCAAGGAATACATCAGTAAGACAAGCAAAAGCTCGCCCTTTGAAAAAAAGAGTATAAAGTTAAAAAAGTCAACAACAAAACACTGACAGTAACAGCTCAGAAAAGAAAAAAAATTCAACTGAAATTGGGTATCCCTTAGCATGACTTTTTTCAGTAGGACTGTATCTACCAGACTCCGAACAGAGATGCTCGTAAACCACACAGATAATTGCTCCTGCCAGGCTTCCCTGCCAAATCACACCTCACGGCTTCTTACAGAAAAGCTCTGTCCTCAAGCTAGAAAGCTATGGCAGAGCACAGACTGTTCTGGTGCTTACAGCATCATCCCCAAGAAACAAATAAACAGTCAGGCAGAGCTAATGCTAAGGAGAAGCATTTACTTAAAAGGCCAAAAGGGGCCTGACCACTGAGAAGAAGAGTCTAAGTCCTGGTATCTGGTGTTTTCCACCATACCAAGCAGACAGACGCACAGTGCTGTGACAGTTCAGTGTGCAGAGGATGGAAATAAGCAGAGGGAAGACACTTTGCGAATAAAAACGTGCTCTAAATGCAGCTTTTCACAGCCACTTTTTGAGAGGCAAAGAGGAAAATTACCGTGTCACTTCTAGAAAGTACGAAAAGGTGTTATCAGGCGAAAAAGCGGTTTGCGATGTAACAAAGCGCTGACTTTTTTTTCCAACGGCGTTTCAAACTCCTTGCAGGCAGTGGGGATGAACGGTGGCGAGAGCCAGCCCTCAGCCCCGGGGTGGCCATGGGGGGTCTGGCTGCCTGCCCCCTCGCCCCACACCAGGAAGTCCTCCAGCAAGCCTAGCTGGTGGGGTGTACCACTGCCCCCCCCTTACCGAGCCTTGCAGCTTATAAAGCTGACTACAAAGCTGGAAATGTTACTATTTCTAACGGGGAATGCCTTCTTTAATAATAGCATGCCAGAAGAAACCCTGATATTTGCTGTTAGCTGCTCAGCCCTCGTGCTTTAAACAGACATTCAAGTGTGCTGACATTCAAGAACAGAAAGTTGAGTGGACACCGATCCTCATCACAGCAATTTCAATTAGTTTTGTACAAGTTTCAACATTCAAACACCCCAGAGAAAGCACAGGATGTGACAAAGGGGACTCTGTTAAACAATTAATGTCACTTTCCATTATTGCTTCAGTCCCAATTTACAGAGCAAATAAATCAAAGTCACCACAGATGAAGCACACTAGCTGGCTAACACATGTCTATTCACAAACGACATGGCAGCAGAAACACATTAGTCAAGAAAATGACATTGCGAGATAACCTTTTAAAGGTTTAACTATGCTATTGCTCCTAATTGTCCTAAATTACTGTTTATAAAGAAACACAATTATTAGATACAGCAGAAATGGTGCTGAGGGGAGATGCGGAGGGAGAGATGGTTGGGTACATCAACGTCTGAGCAATAATCACTGAAGCAGCAGCTTTCTGCTTTGCTACCGCAACTGGAGTCTTGGTGTTGACAGCACTGGGGAGAAGCAACGCTATGGCCAAAGGCTGGCTCTTTCACAGTTCCAGCACTGTTGCCGGAGAAGTTCATGTTTCAGACCGGCATCCAACCTGTGCATCACACAGGCTCGGTGAGTCAGGAGGAGCTGAGCACCCTCCATCTCCGCCGAGGTCACAGGAAGCGCTGTGTGGTCTCCGGAACTTGCTCCGCCGTTTCCTTAACTTCCAAGCAGGGTGACCTTGAAAGGGTTTCTGTCTAAAGGAGGAGATCCTAAGTATTTAAACCACCTAAATGAACTACAGTGTGTAAGAAAAAGGGTGGAGGATAATCTCAAACATAAAGTCGCATGGCAAATACATGCAATTATTAAAAAGTTATGAAAACAATTCATAATGACTACATCTTGCTAACTAATGGGACTTTTTAATGCAGGAGCAGTTATGCATCACTTCCCAGCCACACCGCATGAACTTCTTAACATCTCTGGTTGTTAGTTTAACATAAAGACACCGGGACCAGAGATTTTTTGACCCCTGTAAATTTTCACCCAGCTGAAGGAGGCAAGAAACCAGAGTACTGAACACACTCACTTCCTTGTTTCTGACAGCAAAAGTTTCTAGCATATCCAGAATGCCGTCAGCTCTGAAAAGAAGTAAGATTTGGCATTGTGTCACTGCGCATGGGCGAACGCAACATGGAAACCAGCTAGTGTTCTAAACTGCCAGAACACCAACCGATCCTCAAAAATGAGTGATCTAGGAGCCTAAAGACCATGAAAAGTTTCTAACTGTGCTCTTCTCTGCTTCTACATGGTTTGCTCTAATGCTTTAAAATTTCTACAGCACTAAAAATAATTCTCTGTCTGAAAACACTTTATTAGTTGTGTAACAATCTTGTTCTAATTGGGTTTCTGCCTTCAGTAAAATGTCTCCAGAGATATTCTCTCTTTGGCCAGTGAAAAGCTATAAGAAATGAGTTGATAATTTACCCACACAAAGGTATTTAAATCCTCTACCCCTGATAATTCTTTCTCCTTTGCTTATTCTGCCTATTGATGGAGCCGGGTTCACCTCGTGGTTACCGTGTTATATCTATGACACATGTTACTTGTCGGCAATCCTGCTGCAGATGCCTAAGACTGAGCTGTAATGAAGGCTCAGCCACCTTGTCTTTCCCATGCACGAACCCCTTCTTGAAAACCTTGAAGCCTGTGCCCAGAGGTGCAGAGACAGGACTCTGCTGCAGCTCGCTCGCAGTCAGCTTGGGTATGCTGATTCACTCCGGAAAAGGGTCAAGCCCACCATTTAGAAAATCTTTTCTAAATGTTAATAGTATCTTCCAACACCTTCCCTCTGGTTGATTCCCTCTGCCTTTCGTTTCTGATTATTGCATGAACAGCTTTTGCTTACCATCTCTCAAGGAGTGAAGTCAGCTAATGAATGCTGCTGCTGCTCTAAAGTTTCTTTACTGATAATTTGAATGGTGCAGGGGCCCGCCTTGATTCTTACTGAGAGATCAGGGTCTAAACTGTAGTATTAATCCAGAGCCCTGAGGAGCTGGGAGCAGTGGCAGCTTGCCACGTCTTCGTAAAAAGCCCAGCAAACTTTGGGACAGACCCACAGCTGGTAGAAGCTGTCACCGCTCCAGCAGCCCAGCTCGGTATGCAATTCACAGCAGCCAGGTGTACACCTGAACTCATGAGGGACCACCATTTCAACATATCGACTCACTTCTCTTCAGTAGCCTAAGATCTATTCATAGCACAATTAACAAAGAAAAGAAAAGATTTTCCTCCAGCTGAAAATATCCGAGTGATCTAAAAATACTAATACATTATGGCACTACTTTCAAAGGCACAAAAATGACTTTTGAGCACATCTGGGACTTCTAGCAGGATTTAATTCCTTAATGACACATTTTGGAATAAAAGCATCCTTAAGATTTGTGAATCTCCGCTAGGAGAAATGAGGGGTACAGTTTAGCCCCTTTTTGCACATCGGGATGCAGAGGCACCGAAAAGCTCACCAACACCACCAAGCAGGAGTAGGGGCGGATGGTGTCTCAGCCCTGGCCCCAAAAACCAAGCTTCGCCACCCAAAGATAAGGAGTCGCAGGCTGGGCAGAAGCACAAGGAAGGTTAGGAGGAGGGAAGGGATTAGGATGCAGGCTGGTCTTCCTGCTCCTCCCAGCGAAAAATGAGAGCTGAGATCAAGGACAATGAAAGGAAAGAATTACAGCCCAAGTTTTCCCTCTTCTGGAGCAGAAGGAGCCAACCTGCCAGGGCACTGGCACAGACAGTGCTGTCACGGTGATTATGCTCCCTTCTGAGTGGGCTGTCCAAGGCAAGTGCCCCCTTCTCCTCGACTGAGAGCTGGCCGTACCTGGCAGTATTTTCTCCCAGGGCTGAAGAGGAATCAGTGGTCCAAGTGGAGAATCACTTGTTCCACCCTACCTGCTCACAACGAGTCCCATGGCATTATACATTGAGAAGTGTTTCAGCTTTTCTTTTACTGTTCAACTGCTTTGCAAATCCTTAGGCATCCTGTGCTGTCTTACAGTAAAAATCCACATGATGCATTTGCATTAGAACGTTTTTCCAAGGTCTGTTAGTCTGGTCCCCAAGAGACACTCCCATAATTGAAATGCTTAAGTCCAGAGCTATCAATTATCTTTAAAAACAAAATGGAGTCCCACTAGGAGAAAATTACAGCCAGGTTTCTTTATACGTAGTAGAAATGTGGGGATTAATTATCACCACCCCTGTGCAAATGCCTTTAGGGTAGGGGAAGGAAACAAGCGATCTTCTCTTCTTGAAGGAGACAGCTGCACTCCTATTCCCCATGTGTACCCGTAGGCAAAGACCACTTGAATCCAGAGCTTGCCTTCCTATTTCAGCAGTCCCATTGCCCAACATATGGACCGCGTATACACCTCATCCGTTGGAGCGACCACATCCCCGTGTTTATGTAAAAACTTCACTCCAGCTGGATTTCTGGAGACATCGTAGAGACCTGAAGCAATATGCTCTGCCATCCCACCCTCCCCCAAAACGATGTTAAATAACTAGTGTAATTACACACAATGCAGGTACTGCAATGCTTAACTTCCAGAGGTAGGTCAGTGGAGTGGAACGAACTACCGGCATCGCTCCCAGGGACATTATGGCACCACAAGAAGGACCTGCACAAGCTCCACAGGCTGAAGGAGATGCGAGCACCTGCAGCATCTATTTCCTCCCTCCCTTCTCCAGGACATAACAACATAAAAGTAACAATGTTTATTATTATTAATATATTCAACATAGCGTATATTTCTAGTCTCAAAAAGTTCCCGTGTTTAATCCTGGTAACTGAAACTCAGGTTACTTTCTTTCTGAAAGACAGACACGCTCACCTGACATACTGAAACTTCTGTCAAGTATCTGGGATTAAAGCATCACAACGCAAAACGACGGCACAGGCCATTTGCAAACAGGGTTTTCTTTAAGGTCGTGCCCTTGATCACGTGAAGTAATGCTGCCATAGCTCCTGTGAGATGGGCTATCATCTTTTCAGGTGAAAAAACTAACCTTTCTGCTCAAAGCTAACCATGTCAGTTTGAAAGAGCCTGCTAAATATTCTTCTACCACAAAGTCACTTTTTTTATTGCTTCTAACAAGTTGTTGCAGTTCAGAAGCTTCCATTACAGCTTGGCAATTAAGTTTCTAATAAACTGAAGAGCTACTAATTGACTTATTCATCTCACAAACTGACAATCCAGCTAGCAACCTGTAACCCATTTCACATCGTCTGACCAAAATCCATTCACGTTTTGCTATCCGTTCCAATTTCATCTGTGTAAACTGCACCCCTCCCCTCTATGATAGCAATCTTTGATTCTGGGGAAAAGGCAAAACAAAAAAATCATCTGAGATCAAGCTATCATGCTGTTGACTGTGTTAAGGGAACCAATGATAAGATACTGCTGTGCTGGAATCAGTGCACCGGTGGTAGACCCAATATCAAAAATTTATGGTAATTGAAACCAAAACCACAGAATCTTTAGAAATGCAGTCAATTTGACTAAGTAGCAAAAGGTCACTCTGTTCAATCTATACTTGATGCTGAGCACAATATTGAGAAAACACCTGAAAGCAAATCATCTTCTTGGCAGTCTGGGCCTCAATGTTTACTGACTACATAGGCTAATTTGCTGATTACTAAATGAATGCATTACCTATGTTTTGGACCAGGTTAGCTCACTAGAGGGGCTTTATAACTTGTACAGGACTTGACACTGTAAAAGCATTACCAAACCTCTTATCGGGAACCACATGTCCGTAACGCGGAGCCACGCCGTGGACATCGTGCTGCCTTGCCCAGTGCCAGAGAAGAACACCTGGTCTTCACAGGTGAGGAACTGCAGCAGGAGAAGACCTGGCACGTCTTGTCCAGCCCACGGTGGGCTAGATTGGGGCAGAGCTCCACATCGAAGCACAAAACTCTAGCCTGGGGAAAAACAAGAGCGGGGAAAGGGCAGAAGTGCGAAGGGGAGGAAGAGCCTGACAAAGGGCCACAGAAAAAAGAAAGGCCAGGATTTTTCCCGGACGGCCGGAGAAGCGAAGGGGGAGGTGACGTTCT